TATGAAAATGGAGGTAAGAAGTGGAAACAACAAAGGCATAATCAGTGGCAGATGGTGCGAAAGGAATGGGATATGACAGAGCGAGCACTCACCAAAGAAAGCATGAAGGAAAATGTAACTGAAACATAACTAGCTGAGGAGTTAATGAATACACTTGAGACCCTTAAAAGGCACAGAGATCAACATAAAATATCTGAGCTAGGAGGAGCCCCCTAGAGGAGACAGGACTGTTGCTGTTGTGGAGACTGGAATTTTGACTATGAGAATCAAATTAAGAGTGGTGAGCTGCTGTAAGAAGCCTTCTAGGTGCTTCCATTACCCTGATGGGTTATTTTCAGAGTAGTATATATGTTAAGAACTTTGGGTGGTAACTAATGGAAATACACAATAGGGATCACCACTCACTACTTCAAGCGCCCAAAGAGGAAAGAGGGAATAATTCTGAGTGAGCACAGACAACAAATCATGTTTATCAACTGTCTAGTGCCCTAGAAGATGGTGTGGAGACGAGGTGGGCAGGGGAAGAGCATGCAGAAGGTCCAGCAGCTTCTCCATCAGCCACAGAGAAAGGGCCGCAACTGATCCAGGGGCAAAGCTTGTCTTACACTGGAGGGAACCACATAATATCAATAGCAAGAGTCTCCCAGGGAATTGGTAACAGGAGGGAAATTGCTGGCACATAATAACGCAGGTTTGGACAAAATGAAGAGCTCCCCCTTCAGGGACTGTGGGCCTATTAGTAGCCAGCTCCTCCCTTTAGGGAAGTCTCTGCTCCCTCGCACATGGGCCTCCCTCTCACAAAAGGGCAAACCTCCCCAGGAGAGGGCGTGGCACCTCCACAGGCAACGGAACCAACAAATCTTGTCCATACACCAAGTCTGGCGCCCATTCTAGATCAGAACAAAGGCACTGAGGAGCATGACCTCAGAATTTGATTCTTACAGCCAGAAAGAGAAAAACTCTAACACGTTCACAAACAGTCAGATATTACGCTTTTATCCAGACTGGAATATGCATTCATGTATATTTTCATCTTCGGAACAGGTGGTTTGAAATGCAAATAAAGTAATAAGTGTCAGAGCCGTATCCTAGCAGTAGCTACTTTGCAAACGTTACCATGGCACCAATTCAACAGTGTTCTTAGAGGCAGCCACACCTCAGCAAGTTCTTTCTAACTTGGGACAGCGAAGTTCAAAGGAACTAACAGACACAAACGGTTCAGAAAGAGTCCTGAACCGACATAGCAGGTGACTCTTTACAGCACAATTGCCCTCTGAATCTACTTGATACATGGCACAGGACTTAAAGGAGGAAAAAAAGGAAATGGACCATCTCCTGGAACACCTGGAATGTGATCCAAGCCTGGAGACAAAATGATGGTAATTATAACCGCCAGCATTTGTTTTTAGATGCTAACAGATTGTGCACAGATCGGGAAGGGCAAACTCCATTCTCCAATTACTCCAGCGCAAACTGTGCTTTACAGTACTCACTAAATCCTAGTGGGGTGAAAAGAGAGCCAATTGTCCTCACGTATGGCTCATTTACGTTAAACTAAGGAAGGCCATCCTCCCACCGCCACAGTCCAGGGGCCACTCACAACCGGACGCAAGGAGCTGGGTTCTGCAGATCTCTACTTCTTACTGCCAGTAGATCTGCTCTATGGAGGGCAACGTGCATTTCCCAAGCACAGACAAAGCAGAAGGAAAGGACTAGGCAGTAGGGGCACAGGATGCTGGGGAAACAAGTCTTAGCCAACCTGGCCTGTGAACCAATCAAGTTCCTGAGGTAGGCCCTGGACTAAACAGGGTACGTCTCTGCCTTGCTAGGGGAGAACAAAAGGACAGATACCAAAAGTTAACTATACAAGATAGTCTGTGATCAGTGGCAAACTGATGCTATAAACCACAAATTCTATAAGAGTTCAAAGGGGGCAAGAGTTCTTTCCTGCTTTCCCTTCAGATGAGGGTGATCAAAGAACAATCCCAGAAAGACCCTCTGAAAAGTGAAGACTTCACCAGTAGGGAAACAGAGGTGGTTGACAATGAAAAGCCATCAGCTAGAATGAAGCTCCACAGCTCCCTCCATTACATATGAAGGCCACTAGTCCTCAAGATCTCCCTGGAGACAGTAATGATGCACCATTCGTGGCTAAAATAGCCATAGGAGAGGTAGCACAAAGGAAGGAGTGCTTAGAAAAGCAACTGGGAAGGACCGGCCCCATGGCTTAGCGGTTGGGTACACGCTCTGCTACTGGCGGCCGGGGTTCGATCCTGGGCGTGCACCGACGCACCGCTTCTCCGGCCATGCTGAGGCCGCGTCCCCCATACAGCAACTAGAAGGATGTGCAACTATGACATACAACTATCTACTGGGGCTTTGGGGGGAAAATAAATAAATAAATCTTTAAAAAAAAGAAAAAAAGAAAAGCAACTGGGAGTTTCCATACTGCCTTTTATCTTGAAAGACACAAGACTTCTGCTTCCCAAAAGGGTAATTCTGGGGCCATTATATATAGTTAATTCAATCACCCCACCCCCCGCCCCCCCAAAAAATAAAGGCAAAAAGGGCCTCTTGGTACTGCTTCCATAACATTTTAGCTAAATCAATCTGTAAATTTCTATGGGTGGCTTGAAATTGTAACTTGAGTAGTAACCTGGATATCAGGTGTGCTACCCAACACAGACCACATCCCGGGCACAATATTCCAAAGAGAGTGAGACTTCGGGCTTGGTTTCAGCAAGCTTTGATATTCAGAGAGATGCAGTCTGGTGAGTCAGGATGAGAGAGGAGGAGACCCAGGGAGAAAACAACACTCAGGATCAGGCAGGAGGAGACGGTGTCAGGTTCCATGCAATCAGTCCATTGTAAAAGGTTAAGCTGGAAAAGAGTCCAGGGCCCCAAGAAAAGCTATGCAAGGTCTAGGAAGCGCAGGGCAGGAATTCAGTTGCATCAGAAAATTATAGCACTAAGGAGGAAACTGAAGCAAAGGCCCAATCCTATGGACTAAGTTGGCATGACAGAAGTCAGGAGAAATCTGGAATTTGATGGGTATGTGGTGCCCAGAGTTACTGCAGAGATAATTTGCCATTTGGACAGTGGCGAGGTGAATAAAGTCACATTCCATCTACAGCTGGATTGAGGCTCCTAAAATATTTTCTGCCCAGGACAGGATTAGCAAAGGAACTCTGCAGGTTTTCAGCCTGGAAATCAGGCTGTATCAAATACAGGGTGAGAAGATCTGGGGTGAGTGAGATCTGGGGTGAGGAAGACAGAAGTTGATGAAATGTTTCCATATGAGAGGCAGTAATAAACACTTCTGAAATGATAAATTAGATTTTGAAAGGTGAAAAATACATTTTGTTGCAATCGTCAGTGTATCTCTTTTAAATTTTCTGTTTTATCCATTTTGCTGCCCAAAGAGCTAAATATAAAAAGTGAAACCATACATACTAGAGGAAAATATGGGGAATACTTAAAAGATGAGGAAGTCTTTTCTAAATACAACAGTAAAAAATAAGTCATAAAGGTAAAGATTAGACCGCATAAAAATGTAAAATTTGGTGTAATTGCAAATACCACCAGCATAATTAAAAGGCTCTATAAACCAGGTGAAATATTTGCAACATATATGACAGCTAATATTCTTTTTTGTGTGTGTGTGTGAGGAAGATCCGCCCTGAGCTAACATCTGCCAATCCTCCTCTTTTTGCTGAGGAATACTAGCCCTGGGCTAACATCCATGCCCATCTTCCTCCACTTTATATGGAACGCCACCACAGCATGGCTTGCCAAGCAGTGCGTCGGTGCGCGCCTGGGATCCGAACCCGAGAACCCCGGGCCGCCACAGCGGAGCGCACACACTTAACCGCTTGCGCCAGCGGGCCGGCCCCGACAGCTAATATTCTTGATACATAAAGACTTCTCGCAAATCAGGAAAACCTCAAACAAAACAATAGTAAGGAATCAAATATATTTCACAGAAGAATAAATACTACAGACCAATAAGCAAGTGAAAAAGCGCTCACTAGGAATTGAAAAGGTACAAATTATAACCACAAAGAGATACTGATGCTCACCTCTCAAAGTGGCAAACGGAGTGATAAACAACACTGGGACAGAAGGTGATAAAATTGGTACACCTTCCTAGGAAGCAATCTGACAAAGTTTGATCCAATAATACAACTTCTAGTAATCTACATTAAAGAAAACTCATATCAGAGATATGAACGATTTATTTACAGAAATGTACATCAAAGTGTCATTTATAATAATAAAAAGAAGAAAGAACCTGAATGTTATAGTTATGTAATAGAATACTAATTAGCCATAAATATTGTGTTTTTTGAATAATTTTTAATAACATGGGAAAATGCTCATGATACTAAGTGAAAAATCAAAGTATAAAACATGATTTTATTTACGTTATGCATAACAAACATACCTAGCAAAAAGACTGGAGGGAATAGACCTGTTAACAGTGATGGGAATGTAAACTGATACAAACTGGTATGAGTTTTTATTTTTTCCTTTATATATCAGTATTTTAAAAAATATTCTACAAGAACCATGTAATACTTGTATAATAAAGAGTTATTTTAAAATGTTTTTAAACTACATTATAATGACCTGAGTTGCTCCTTGGGAACAATGATAACTGGAGGAATATTTTTTTAAAGGAAAAATCATTACTTAAAGATCTCAGCTTTTTGGATTAACACCCCAGAAACTATTTATTTGAAATATCCTAAGAACAATATCTGCTTCCAGAATAGCAAAGTTTCCAAAATGCTCTAACAAGACCCACCCACTGGAAATAAAACTCTCAAATGTCAGTGAATGAGTCCATGACCCGAAGAATACTCAAGTGGCAGTTCCCCAAGAAGTCTCCACCACTAAGCAAAACAGGCCCCATGATCCTATTCCCAAAAGGATAACCACCTCCAACGTATTGCTAATGATTTGAATAGCTGATTTTAAATGCAAGCACATTCAAAACCTCTGTGCAATATATTAGATACTATCATATTCATAAAAGAGACAAAGGAAGAACACTATGAACAAAATGCCAACCATTGCTTATTTCTTTGGACTTGTATAAATAAGAATCATCTGGCTAACCCTGGGATTTGTACTGTTCTACTAAGAGCTAATATTTATTGAGTCCTTACTATGTATCAGGCACATAACAAAGCATTTTATATTTATTCCATCATTCAAGCCTCAAGATAATCTTATGAGGTAGGTACTATTCTTATCCTCATTTTACAGACAAGGAAGCTGTGGCTCCTAGATGTTACATAACTTGCCAAAAGTCATTAAGATGGTAAGTGGCAGAGCCCAGATTTGAAACAAGTCTGTTTCTAGAAGTTGGCACTGTTAACCCATTTGCTCGCTGCCTCAGAATCTACGAAACAGGTAAAGGTGTATTATACCTTTCTCTCTGTCTCCTTCCCCCTCCCCTGGAGTCTCAATGAAGAAAGATGAATCCTGAGCTTCCTAGTCTATGGATATATAGCACTATCTTTTAGAATCAAAGATGCTACTATAGTTATTGTGCTACCTCCTTTAAAGAAAAGTATGGCTCAATAAATTAATGCACTGTCTTTAGTTTTTTCCTGCACTGGTTTTATATATAATTTCTCTTCTTTGTTTAGGGTTGCAGCTAGAAGACAATAAAACTAGCAATGGAGCCTTTATATGAGGAATACCTAGCAAATCGTGGAACAATAGTAAAACCATATTACTGGCTAAGCTTCTCTCTAGATTGCTGTAATTGTCCTTACCACATTCGGACAGGTGAAGAAGCAAGAGTTCCCTACTCAGAATTTCATCAGATTTTTGGATTCCCTTATGGGCCAACGTATCCTCAAACAAAACACCTCACATTTTATGAACTAAAAACTTCTCCTGGAAGCCTGCTGCAAAAGGGCCATGCTAGCAGTTGCACTGGGAATAACACCCATCCAGAATCAATGCTATTCGAGATGAATGGTTATTTAGACTCGGGCATACACAATAACTACAGCATCAGGCATATCATTCTGTATTCCAACAACTCGCCTTGTAATGAAGCTGACCACTGTTGCATCAGCAAAATGTACAATTTCCTGATAAGGTATCCGGACGTCACTCTCAGTATTTACTTCTCTCAGCTCTATCATACTGAGACTGACTTTCCTGCCTCTGCGTGGAACCGCGAAGCTCTCCGGAGCCTGGCCAGCTTATGGCCACAGGTCACTTTGAGCCCAATAAGTGGTGGGATGTGGCACTCCCTCCTCAACAACTTTGTGAGTGGTGTCTCAGGACCAACTGTTTTCCAGCCCATTTTACCAGGGAGAGCACTGGCTGACCGGCACAATGCATGTGAAATCAATGCCATAACAGGAGTGAAACCTTATTTCACTGATGTTCTTCCCCAGACAAAAGAGATTCAGGACATAGAAGCTTTAGAGAGCTACCCCTTAAACAATGTCTTTCCCGGACAGTCTTTTAAAGTGACAAGTGGACAACTGCAACCCAACGTGACCCCAGATCTTAGGGTGCCTGTCATTTTTGTGCTGGTGCCTTACAGAGACCTACCACCAATCCATGTGGATCAAAACCCACAGAAACCCAGGAACATCGTAAGGCATTTAAATACGCCTCAAATGTCATTCCAGGAAACCAAGGACCTCGGAAGGCCTCCCATTGGAAGGCCTGCGGAAAGAGTGGAAATCACAGAACAGTTTGCAAGTAGCAAAGAGGCAGAAGAAAAGAAGAAGAAGAAAGGGAAAAAATAAAATCTACATTCCTACAACATGACACCAAACAACTACCAGAGGACTTATTAGATAGCCAACAAAAATCTGGAAACTTTCTCTCTTAAGACTGATCCTAGATAGAGATAAATTGATAGACTAAGAGCAAAACCTGAATTACTTACAACAACTATTATAAAGCTATACTATTTTTAACATAACCCAAAATGTTTCCATAAGAAACTTCATCTCTCCCCTTTATTTTGAAAGTGACAGTATCAAAATGGAGCCATTAGTACCTTGCTAATATCTCGGTGTGGAAAAGGAATGTCATTATTCTAGTCTACCCACATCATCTTTCCACTAAAAAAGCCCATATACAAAATAGCTTCCTACATTGGTTTCAGTATAAAAGTTTACTGTAAAATTGGAAAACAGCCTGAAGTTACTGACATTAAGTGCTGCTTGCAAAAGCAAACCAGTGATTTTTCCATTAACTGTTAATCATGGACAGAAGATTTTAGGCAGCCCATTTTTTTTAAAAGTGGTTCAAAATAGTGTTGTGTGGGGAAAAAGCTCTTCTGCCAATTGATTAGATATAGCTACAAAAATTGATTTTTGAAACCTAGCCACCTGCTCAGTTTGACGTTTCCCAGCTCAGACCTCTCCCTCCTGAGCAGCTGATGGAGGCAGGATGACACATGAAAATCTCCAAAGGCTCCTTCCATCACACCCCATATAAAATGCAAGCCATTCTTACTGGCTTTCAAGGATCCTCCTCTATCTTTCTGTTGCCCTGTCTCATCAGCAAGATTGTAAGTTCCTATAGGTCAAGCACTGTCTCTCTCCCCTCTTTGGTTTTCCCTTAGGATCTAGCAGAGTGTCCAGGCAAGATGTGGGTAGCAAGGCTGTAATACCACATCTTAATAACTTCACCAATCACTATTCCCCCAACATCCTTTCTCCATTCCAGCCAAGTGCCTGCTTAACCATCTTGCAAAGGACACCTTTTTTTTTGTCAGCATCCATCCCCCCTTCTTCTTATATAGCTCCCCAAAGCATAGTTTCTATGTTTTACTTTCTTTTTTCCTGACTCCTTCTTTTTCATCAGTGCATATCTATAACTTCTCTTAAAATCTTGTTCAAAGAACACTTCTAGGAAGTGCTCCTTGACTAACCCTCTGAGCATGTACATTAAAGCACTTTGCTTATGTTTAATTAATTCACATTTGCTGCCTCACTTCTCTTCTGGAAATATGTAAAGATGCATTAAAAGAAAAATGTACATTCATTTGTAACTTGCTACTAAATTTTTTCTTAATGTATGTAAAAAGTAATGCTAAGCTAATAAGATAGTTTTGCCATTAGAAGAAAAAACTTAAAGCACATAATACTCCCTGCAGAAGAAGAAAGAACAGGAGGAGGAGGGAAAGAAAAAAAGGAAAAGAAAAATATTTAGAATAGAAATTTATATTGTGATTAAAATAAACATGAATAAAATTTTTAAAGGAATTTGTGTTGATAACCTGAAAATTTTTATAGAATTATTGGACTATAATTGTATTTTGGGTATATAGTGATTATTATTTAATGAGGTACTGTTGAATTTTATTATTAGATCATGAAATCATATGTCTACAATTGGGACTTAGAGTTAAAAAAAAAAAAAAGGATCCCAACATGACAAATCCAGCATCTCTGATCATTATAAAAGTAGATCCAATTAGTTGCCATGAAATCTATCTCCAAAGTGGTCAAAAAGACCACAACATCAATCAGGCTACAAAAGATCCAGTTAGAAACATAGTCTGAGATCTATGATGAATTTGTGTTTCAAATATGAACCTGGATGTCAATGGTATATATCACAGAGAGAAATGTTGCCAGCACTATTAGAAAGAAAAGTGCCCTTGGCAGTTGATAAGTTAGATAAGACTGGGGCTAGGAAGAAGAATGTTACTGACAGGTTCCGGGTCCAGGCCAACACAGTCAAGCCTTAGACAAGAGAATGTTAAGAGAGCATAAAGATATATGGCCCTAGGCAAGTAGTCTCTATTTTCTCATTTGTAAAAACAAGACATATGAGCCAGCTCATCTTTAAGATTCCTTTCAGCTCTGTCTGCTCTAAGACGGCATATAGCGGAGCAATAGTTCCAGAGTGAGCTCTTACAGTGCAGCGATCTGTCTTCCTGCTCACCATACAATGGATTCCTGGTCAGGAGAGGAGAAGTTGGAATGCTCTACCTCTCGTCAGCAAACTGGCAATGATGGTTCCTCCATACGTATGGAAATTCCAAATAAAGAAAACAGAAGCCAATAAATTAAAGCAGCTAGTGGTGAGGTGACCTAAAAAAGGCAGAGGGACCTATCCCAAGAAACTGACTAGGGGAGGGGGAGGGGAGCATTACCTTAGTGAATCTACCATGGTCCAGGGTTTGGCTCTCAGCTTTGTAGGCTCAAATACCTACTTAGTCAATATAGAAAGAATGGATTTTTTTCTCTGTCTTTTTTTCAAATGGATTTATTAATCAGGGGAAGATGTGGATTAACAAAGCTCCCGAGATTAACATATAAAAACAGAAAGCTACTGTACTGATTTCCAGTGAGACTGACAACTGGATATGCAACCAGTTATTCAAGTCTTCCAGCCTGTACAGCCTCTCCATGTAAATAAACTACATGAGAAACCAAATTATAATCAGAAGGTTGCTTTGTGGATTAGAGGAGTTCCTTATGTGATTCAAATGTTTAATTCTATCAGACTCTGCTTATTGTAGCAGGGATAGACATCTGCCACTGGAATGGAATGGTGGGATATGCACAAGGGCACCTGTCCTTTAGACGGTGTTTAGGTGGGCCAAGCCTGTAAGAGGCAACATGAACCTCTATAACCACTTCCTGTCATGACTAGTAGCAGTTTTCTTTAGATGTTAATGTTTCCTCAAACTACAATCTAATCCTGCTGGCCTGAGAGCAAATCCTATCTCTTTCAACTGCTGTTACATATTTTTTTTGATTCATGGTGCATGCAATTTTTTAAGGAAAGCCACATGGTAACCTATATTAATTAAAAATAATATTATTAATACCTAACATTTAGTGAGAGCTATATGACAGGTACTTTTCTAAGCACTTACATATATTAACGCATTTAATCCTTCCAGTAATCAAATGAAGTAGGTATTATTATAATAAGTATTTTACAAATAAGGAAATTGTGGCACAGAGACCTTAAGTAATGGCTCAAGTAGTAAACGCTGAGCTGAGAGTCATGCCCAGGAGGTCTAGCTCCAGAATCCATGTTCTTAATCACTATGCTTTAATGCCTCTCAAAATAATAACAATGTGAACTCACTACAAAGCCTGGAAAAATCACCATCCACTTAGGACTGGTCCTGCAGCTTTTCTGTAATTCTGCTCAAACCACTGTACCAATGGGCATCCTCCGGACTATGGGAGCTAGGTCAGCTGGGTGGACTAGGGTGGAGAACTTCAGTAGGTTCTAGATTCCAGGGTTTTGGCCCTCTCCCCACCCCCACACCCTGTTACCCAGGACCTCATACCAAACATAAGTTCTGGGACTATTTTACCTGACTCTCAGGGATGTATCTGAGGCAATGGAACATTGCTTTATTGCCCTATTTAGTTAATTAAGTGGAATTGTTTCCTCAAAAAATTAAAAAGAGAGTTACCATATGATCCAGCAATACCACTTCTGGGTATACATCCAAAAGAATTGAAAATAGAGTCTCAAAGAGATATTTGTACTCCCATATTCATATCAGCATTATTCACAATAGCCAAAAGGTAGAAGTAACCCAAGTGTCCATCAATGGATGAATGGAAAAAGAAAATGTGGTATATACATACAATGGAATATTATTCAGCCATAAAAAGGAAGGAAATTCTGACACATGCTACAACATGGATGAACCTTGAGGACATCAAGCTAAGTGAAATAAGCCAGTCACAAAAAGACAAATAATGTATGATTCCACTTATATAGGGTACTTAGAATTTACAGTAAGGTATATCAAATTTATAGAGACAGAAAGTAAAATGGTGGTTGCGAGGGGCTGGGGAGAGGGGGGAATGGGGACCTATTGTTTAATGGGTATAGAGTCTCAGTTTTGCAAGAAAAAAAAAGGTCTGGAGATGGATGGTGGTGATGGTTGTACCACAATATGAATGTACTTAATACTACTTAACAGTACACTTAAAAATGGTTAAGATGGTAAATTTTATGATATGTGTTTTGCCACTTTTTTTTTTAGAATTAAGTGGAATTACTAATTGACACATCCTGATCTCTCCGTATACCAAAAAAAGTGACATCTTTGGTAGTAGACTAAATATTAGGTAACAGGCTCTATGTCTAGTTTCAAAAAACTGAGATAAGGTGGGAAAAGGTCACAGAAATATCTGAAAAACAAACAAATATCCTTAAACGATCATTACAACAACAAGACATTTTAAGGTCATAATTTATAGTTCATTTCAAGCTATTGTCTGGCTTTATTTAGACTGTTGATACTTAGTGATAGTCTTATTTTTAGCATAAAGGTAAGTATTACAGTTGGGAATAATGAGAAAGACTTACTATAAGCAGAGAGTGGTGATTAAAAGCACAAGCTTTGGAATCTGACAGACCTAATTCCCATACCAGTCTGTTCCTTGCTAGTCGAGTATCATTGTCTGAGTTACATAACCTCTCCGAGCTTTAGTTTCCTCATCCATAAAATGGAAAAACTAATTCCTAGGCCCTAGAGCTACTCTGAGGATTAAATAATATAAATAAAGAGCTTATTTACCAAGTGTTTAACATACAATAAACACTCATCAAGTGGTTGCTATTATCAATAAAATATTAATAGAATAAGGATAGACAGTAGGAAATGATAAGAATTGTAAGATCTTTCAACTTTTCTCAAAACTATTAGTCTGAGACGGCTGTTTTCTATAAGAAATAAAGATATGTTACTAGAATTTGTGACAATCAGGTTAGGGGGGAGAAAAAAGAAAAAAATGTTGATTATAATATTTTGCTTAAATAGTTAATAGTAGTAATGAGAAAAGTAATATGCCCATGGTCATGGAAGATATTAAAGTAATTGTAAGAAAATATTTTGTGCAACTTCTTGCCAATAAATGGGCAGTCTAGAAGAAATGCAAGTCAATAACCACAGAAGATAGACAAAGATTATCAAAGATCTACCTCTAAAAATATGAGCAAACCCAGATAATTTTGCAAGCACATTCTGTAACTTTCAAAGAAAAAATAGCATGGTAATTTTCTATTATTCAAACTATTCTAGAGCATAGAAAAAAAGATGGAAATCTTCTCAATTCATCTTACAAAGCTAGACTAACCTTAGTATCAAAACTGGATAAAGATAGCACAAAGAAATAAAACTATGGACCAATCTTACTAATAAATACAGATTCTGAAATCATGTAAACAAAATATAAGTTAATAAAATCTAGCAAGTAATTAAAATAGTAACCAAATAGAGTTTATTCTAGAAATGTGGGAAGGGTTCAGTGCAGAAAACTATATAAATATAATTCATTACATTCATAAATTAGAAGATCAAAAACTATATGATTTTTATCATTAGATCCCCAAAAAAGACATTTGATAATTTTAGCAGTCATTCCTAAAGATCATAAAGCAATAGGAAATATAAACTAGTGAAATACCAAAGATATTTCCATTAAAATAGAAACAAAGAACAGAAGCCTACTATCACTCAATTTTTCAACACTGTTTTTGAGAATCTAGCTAATGCAGTAAAATAAGAAAAATAAATAAAAATGATATAATATTAGAAAAGAAGATGTAAATTATCATTATCTCAGACATTATGATTATATATTGTGACAAGAAAGGTAACCTTAAAACAACTGTTAGCATTAATAAGAGATCCCAGTAATGGGAAAGAATACAGGATAAGTAAATTTTAAAATCCATAGCTTCCCTTTATATTATCATTAGCAGGTAAAAAAACTAAGTAGAAAAAGAGTCTCACTCACAACAATGTTTAAAAAACAAGGTTTATTCTTTCATTTAGCGCTAAACTTTCTTCCTGAGACAAGAGTACAGATTAAACTTGTTTTTAATCTTTGAAGTACTAACATATAAATAAATAAAGGTCCCATTGTAAAATGGTTCACCCTACCTACTCTACTTCAGGGTGTAATCATAAAGTCATATAAAGGTAAAATTAATCACAAAGAAAAAATTTGAAGTTTTGAAGGTTGGTGGTTTCAACACAGAATCACTTGATCTGGATATTAAGTAGGAGCATTAAAACCATACTATAGTCCATAGGTAACATGCTAAAA